AATCACATCATTTTGTGTCAAAAACTAATACTTCATTTACTGTAACAGTACTAACCAGTTCATTTGAAGTCCTCGCTCTCAAGTTCCTTTGCTCTTAGCACATGTTACTGTATCTGTACTTTCTTAAAGATAACTCTGTACTTCTTAAGAGACAGCATTCCTATTAGCTTTAAGGGAGGAATAATTATTACGTTAATGGTAGAGAGCCTTTATCCACAGCATCTTCCTTTTCTTTGGGATCAGTAGCAGCTGCTTATGTACCTTTATTAGAAATGCAATACCATGTTCACATCCAGATCTCTGGTTTTTCAGTACTGCTGAAACAGCCTCAAATAAAAAAAAAAAACAAAAAAAATCCCCACAAAACCCAATCAACAAAAAAACCCCACCACAAACACTAAAGTATCAGAATTCCCTCTGTCCTTCCTTCTGTACACTCAGAGTAATATAGGTTGAAAGGAACCTCAGAAGGTGTCCAGTTCAATTCCATCCCTCCAGGGATTTTCACAATTCATCCTTGAACTCAGGTTGAAATAGAAGAACTAGCCTCTGATTAATCAATCTCAAAGTGCAGTTACAAGCCTAAATTTAAAGAGCAGCCTTTCCCAGTGATTCACTACTTCAGTAGGTATTACTAGTAATTTTTTTCTCCAAAATATATATATAGTAACAAAAAACTAACATCTTTGAAGACCCCCAAATTAGTCCCTGAACATCTGAAAAATACAAGCAGCTGAAAAGCTTTTGGAGGTGGGCATGTAGTTGTAAACACAGTGTATAGCGTGGTCATTAACTTGTGTTTTATGATTGTTTTGTTTACAGTTGCAAAAACAACAGCTTATATTAAGCACACTTAACTATAGCTTTCAAGTGAGAACTCGTTGACAAACATTAGTATGTGAACAATGTAAGTAAAACTTCAGCAAGTACACCAAGACATGCAGTAACTAAACCTTCATGCCAAAGGAATTCTTTAAGACCTGAATTGGTCTTACTGGTGGAACAGTAACATATCTTGTGTTTTAATAAAAACTTATTCCTTTGGAGGCTGTATTAATGATAAGCTGACACACAATAAATAGTGTAGTACATTAAAAAAAGGCATGATTCGTTTTTCCTGATGTGATTTCCCAACATCATCGATTTCCTGACATCAGCAACATTAGAAAGTCAAACAGGAAGTAGCTTGATATTTTTGTGGCAACAGTTCAAACTTTCTTTTTAAAGCATTGTTTGTCTATTCATACCTTTCAATTATTCTTACGAATTTTTTGAGAGAACAGGAACAATGTGGCAAAGACTTGCAATGCAAAAACCAAAACATAATTATGTTAAAATTTAAGTGTTAAAAGTATGAAAACAATTAAATACAGTGAAAAATACAGTGAAAACTTAGATTCAATCAAGTGAAATTAAATAAATTTAATGTCATAATAATCTACAAGTATCTGTACATTTTAAGTACATAGTCCTTTCAGTTTATGTTCCCACATCTAGTTAATTTACACCATTTAAAGTCGAGTATGTTCCCTCTCACAGTGGTATTTATGCTACTGTCTACAAAAAGCTGAGAGATAATCAGCTGCATGTCACTGATGTCTATTTGACAGTTTGCCTCTTTAAAACACGTATAAAGGCATCTTTCGGTACTTCCACATTGCCAATTTTTCTCATCAATTTCTTCCCTTCTGCCTGCCTCTTTAAAAGCTTCATTCTTCTTGTAATGTCTCCACCATACTATGAAAAGGAAAAATATTTTAGTAAGCTTAAATGCAACTACAGTACATTTCAGCAACACTAAACTCAAGGGCTTAAAAAGAGTCAGAAAAGCTAGTCATATTATGATGAAAGATTACTTCATACTCCAAATAGTTATGCCTAAAGGCCACTAGTTAAAAAGAACAAGGGAGCAAGTAAGCATGTTCATTTTGACAATTAAGGGTTGAATCCAGTTACCTAAATATATACATTCACATAAGCTTGGCTGGCATTAGACACAACCTATAGGATATCCAAATCCCCTTGGAACAGCAGCAGGATACCAGCTCAGATGATACACTGGGGCATCTTGACTAGCGCAGGTGCTTACATCTAGATAAATTAACTGAACGCTTAAACAATGTTCAACAAACACCATCCCACATATGTGCCTAGCAGAAGAATTCTAGAATAGCTGTGAGAAAGTGACATTTGTTTAATTTTTTCCAACATGTTAATTTCAGAGAGTGAAATACAAGATAAGTAAGAATCATCATGTTTTTCAATCTTGTTGATCGTCAACTATTGCATATTTAAGGTCTTATCATGATGTATTACTGAAAACCCAAGTAAAAGTCTAATCACAATCAAGTTTCTAAGAAGGACTTTTATAGTTTCCTAAATCACCTGAAAAAAAAAAAACAATTTAGGAAACGTGAAGTTACACCTATGTGTGTGCACACATACACACACATACCTTTACTATATGTCTACAGCTATTAGAAAATGGTGAGGAGACAGGAGTGAACAGACACAAACCCTGCTGAGTTCACTTTAAGTGTGTAATTTTGAAAAAGCCATTACTCTTTCTCATCCACTCTTACTGCAAGCTGCAACTAGAGTTTACATGAGTTGCATTTTAAAATAAAAGCTTAAAAGTATCTGTTAATGTTCCACTGACACTTAGGAGCACAAGCAGAATGTGTCTTTGCTGGGTTTCTAGGAAGAGATAGGCCGTTAGCAGGGCTTAAGATTCATATACATCAAAAACGTCAAAAAATGAAAAAAATAGACCTACACATTTTGCCACAACATTTTTTCTGTAAGCTTTCACCCTGTAAAATAAAATAACATATATAAATGACATTTTTATATTTTGTATACAGAAGATTAAGTTCTAACCAGAAGACTTAACTCACATTTCTCAATTCTAGAAATATCCCTTACGGTATATAGCATGTACATAAAAATTTCAATCTTGCCTTTTTATCTAGGATTTCTGCTATGGTTCACAGTAAATGTTACATATGTGTGTATATAGATATGTACACACAAATTCTTACAGCACCTCTGCTAGGATCCCTACCTTTAATTGTTTTACCACAATTTAAATCCTATTTAAACAGCAAAAATATGACAAGGAACACAACAACAAGGAAACAGTTTGCTGTAAAAGTGTAGCTAAAAAATAGTTGTGTGTTCAGCTTGCAACATACTTCCTTTGGAATAGCACAGTTGTTTTTTTTTTGCTGACTCTCCCAGAGATTACACTGTTCCACAAGTAGCTAATTTTTTTCAGTAGCAAGAAACTTTTTCCACTGCCAAAGAGGAAGTGGACACATGGGTGTTGCACATTATATTTTACCCACTAAGTGCAATGCTGACCACAAGCAATTTAACATAAAAATACATTTTTTTTCAATTAAATTTATACAAAGTCCTTAGTCATAGTCACAGCTCAAATGTATTTTTTTTTCCAAGAGGTCCAGTAGCATATACAAGAAAAATCCAACTTTACAGTAAAATCAAAGTACTGTAGTGTATAAAACTATTTAGATAAGACAGTAAAAGTCCATACTTTAAGTAGCTTAAAATAAGAAAAAACAAAACAAAACAAAACAAAACAAAACAAACCTACAAAACAAAACAAGAAGGGAAACAGAAGGGCTTCACTCACGTTTCTCTTGCAATGATTTTATTGCCAATAGCAGCCTGGATGGCTATTTCAAACAACTGTCTAGGTATAGCATCTTTTAAACGTTCACAGAGGAATTTACCAGTAGCATACGCCTTATCACTGAAAAAGAAAGTCAACAGTGTTTTCAGAAAGAGTAATAAAACCCCAAAGATATATCCATAGACTAAAGTGTTTGATAAAAGGATTTTAGTAGAGGTTTTCCTCTTTTTAGCTCAAAAGATAAGCTGATCAGATCCTAATTTTACATCTAATGAGTGGTCTCTGTATGTCACCTGCTTCATACAAACAGGTGATAAGACTGTATTAACAGAAGATCTTCAAATAAATTTAAAATCTTTATAATAAACACCCTGATTATCTATCACACTGAAGGCATTTTGAATACTGTCACAGTTTCAAATGCAATTTTAAACTAGAAGGTCAAGGAGAATTTTCATTGAATGTAGGCTCAAAAAGTCAAAATACCTACATATTACAGAAATATTTTTAAAACATCTTTTTTTATATAACAAGAAAAAAAACACAACACTTTTAATGTACTCAACATCTGCTAATAAAAATTTTCCAACTATATTCAGCATCTACACATGCTTCAAATTTTGGAAAGATGAAAATGACAAAAGGTCTAAAGAAGCTACTAAACAGATACTTTCACAAGCCATTGGAAACAAATCCAGTCAACCTACTTGTGTATGATAGTTGCCAGTTCTTCAACTGGATTTCCATTTAGAAGAATATCCATTTTGATAAGGTCTGCTGCCTGGTATCCTGCATCTTCATAATCAAAACTAAACAAAAGCAGTTTAAAAATTAGTGATGATTTTGTAAAAATTATATTCTGCATTCTTTGTTCCATAAATTTTAAGTTATACACACATTTCTTAATAAAACACTTGAACTTTTTAATAGTCTCTCAATATGTCTCCCTTATGCAAAACCAGACTAGAAATTTACTGCAGATAAACCCCCATCTCCAGTGCAGCGGAATACATCATCCTGCCTTCCAGCTACTGAGCAAGGTAAAACAATCAAAAAATCTACATTCTTAGTGCAGTCTCTTAAAAAGTTTATTCAAACACTTATTTTCCATCAGCTGGAAGTTCCTTCAAGCTCCAGGCAACAGAACCCTTCAACACAGCTTTGAACAGTGAACATCCTTGATGTCACAGGAATCAAACACTAACCCTGGATTGTTTTCTTCTCATCCTCTCATTTGACAGACATTTTATATGACCCCTATTATCATTCTCTCTGAGAACCAAGTTTTCCTCTTCATTTCCAAACTGTATTTCTCCTTTGGTAGGTATGGGCCTTGCTGTCTGTGTGTCAGTTTGCAAAAATTCTTAAAATGCAGGAGATAGAGATACATGTATGCAAGATACATATGCCCTGTATGTAAGTATAAATGTGGAGAATGTCAGTACCACTAATTTGGTCAGATCTGAAATACCAGAGCAGAGGGGAAAAAAAAGTCCTTTGAGAGTATTTGAAAGTACTTCTATCTTAATTGGCTTAATAAACCATAGTTGTATGAACAGATTCATATAACACAAGTATGAATATTGAAAGCATTAAATACAGAAGCAACATTAGAGAGTCAAAAAAAAAAAATCAAGAAATAAGACCATGCAACATTGTTTGCAATTGGATCTGAATCAAAGGAAACCCAGCATAATGCTGCTAACGAGATAGCTTCTTGATAAATAAGTTGGTTTTTAACTAGTTGGAGAGCTAGATCCTGAGCAAAAATTAAAAATCTCCATCCTCCTGTTTCTTCTGCCTATCCTTGCCTGTCCACTTTCACTTCTACTGCAAATATGTACAAACCTGGACAAAACACATCTTACTTTACCTTTATAAGGCATATTTAAGAAAACATAAACTCAAACTAAATTCAGTCCTTCAATAAAATTAATTTTTGTGTTTATAAAATGAATAACGTACAGGCATACCAATTCCTGTCAAAATGTAACATATCTTACTAACAACATCTCTACATACCAGGTTTGCAAGAGCTATTGAGCTTTCTGTGGCATAAGCCCATCTGCCATGCACGCTTTCCCTTCCATTAAACACACAAAGGCTGTTCACAAACAGCTGAGCATTGTTCTAGCCTCTGAATTTGTGGAATCCACCCAAAATAGAACATTTTGTCTCAAAATACAGATTATTTACTTTATTCCCATAATAAAGCATGTAAGTAAAGCAAGTATTGTTTGTTTTAAATACAGGATGCTGATTGATTTTACTATCTTTAAAGACTCAGTATTTGCTTATTTTCCCTTTTCCACCAAGAGACAGTTAACACAATAAGAAGTACAGTTTCAGTGATTTCTTTGATAGAAAGTGCCTGGTGTTGCTTCAGACAAGTAAGAACCATCTAGATCTTACTCATCTAGATGAGGGAGTGCTGCTCTAGAGGGCACACTTGAAAAACACATGCATCACCAGAGAAAGTTATTATTAGGTAATGATGCACTTTTAGTATTTTTCAGACTTACTTCCATCCATTTTCACAGTGAATCTAATTCATTAAAGGTGAAGCAAAACTAGATTTGCAGCACCTTCATAAAAGAATATTCTTCACTTGTGCCCTTCCATATCTTCTCAGATCTTTTTTTGTCCCCCTCGCTTCAGGGTCCAGGGTGG